ACTGACTTAATCCCCATGGCAAACTATTCAGTGGATACTATTATGATCCCCATCTTACATATGAGAAATCAAGCACACGGAGTTTAAATAACTTCCTCAAGGTCACACAGCTAGTAAATGGCAGAACTGGAATTCAAGCCAAGATAATCTGGTCTCTAGGCCTGTGCTGACACATGGTTTTCAGAATGCATGAAAAAAACATTATCATGGAGATAATTTGCTCTAACACATTTTTAAGTCTATTGTTTGGAAACTATCTTGTTAATAAAAATTTACATAAAATCTATCTCACAATTGATGGGCTCATTAGATCTTCACAAAACTCCAACTAATACTTAAGAACCTAAGACAATGTCTTAAATGACTCCAAGTATGTAACAGTTTTAACCTACCTAACTGGTGTAAATGGTTTGAGAATTCACTGCTTTCTTACTCAAAACTATGTAAAGTGAAAACTTTGCTTTTCCATTACTTTTCAGTCAGATTTTGTTGCCACATTTTTTTTTTCTGTATTTGAATTAGCTTGAAGGTCTCCATGGTATGAGAACTGAATATTCTACTTTTACAATGTTTATTATCAACGAATCAAAAACTCTTTCAAACCCTGATGTTCCTTGAGGAGAAAGAGAAACTGAATGTCAAGAAGCTGGCCTAAGCCTACAGGACGATGGTACAGCCAGACAGAGCTTCAGTCTTGTGATGCAAAAGCTACTTATTACTCTAGTGAGTAAAGTACACTGGTTTGAAAAGCTAATTAAAATTAATTAGAAGGTTCAAGTACCTCAAACATAAAATCATGTGTTATATAAAAGGTACTTTCAAGGTCAATTTTTCAGAACTTGACCAACTAATTTAGTTTCTTAAGTGTCTCTCACAGAAGATATCAATAGCAGGAAAATGGTTTATGAATTGCAATTTCTGTAGCTTTAGGAATAACACTCAGAAATTCAAAAGGTATATCAGAATGCAATCGGGGCACCTGGGTGGCTCAATCAGCTAAGCTTCCGACTTCGTCTCAGGTCATAATCTCATGGTTAGTGGGCTTGAGCCCTGCATCAAGCTGTGCACCGACAGTGTGAAGCCTGCTTGGGATTTTCTCTCTCTCCTTCTCTCTTCCCCTCCCTCACTGTGCGCAAGTGCTCTCTCAAAATGAATAAACTTTAAAGAAAAAGAATGCGATAGACATCACGATAAATCAAATATAATTTTATAAGAAAAAATTCCACTTCACTTACACTGTTGTTATGGTCTGAATGTTTGTGCTCCCCTCGCCCAGCCCAAAATCTGATGTTAAAACTTATTCCCCCAATGTGATGGTATTTGGAGGTGGGCATTTGAGAGATGAGTAGGTCGTGAGGATGAAGCTCTCAAAAGTGGGATCAGTGCCCTATAAAAGAGACCCCAGGGGGATCCTTTGTCCCTTCTGCCATGTGCAGTTACCATGAGAAGACAGCTGCCTATGAGGAAGTTGATCTTGGACCTGGAAGCTGCCTTGATCTTGGACTTCCAGCCTCCAGAACCATGAGAAATAAATTTCTGTTGTTTATAAGCCTTCCAGTCTGGGATATTTTGTTCCAGCAGCCCAAACACACTAAGACAACCATGTTATACTGGAAAACAACTCATGATAGGTAGGTTTATTTTATTTATTTATTTTTAAGTAGGCTCCACACCCAATGTAGAGTTTGAACTCATGACCCTGAGATCAAGGGTTGGACGTTCTACCGACTGAGCCACCCAGGTATGTTTATTCTTTAAAATCTAATTTGGTTCTCCTTTAAAATGCAAGTGTGATTCTAATTCAAAATATTCTATTTTAGCAACTTTCTTTTTATAAACTGTTTAAAGACAAAGTCAAGCAATGCCATCTACAGGGAAACTTTAGAACAACAGTCCTATTTCTATAACCCACGCTTCTTTAAATTAATAGAGCATTTATAGTCTGAGTTATAATATTGCATTTGGTATCATCTGGCAAGAAAAAAACAGCAGCTGTGTAAAAAAAATCCCAGTAACAATCATTCTGGGTTAATATTTCCTAAAATAATTAAAAATAACCTAACTTCACTCCCAAGTTTATCACACTTTAGTTATGAACCATACCTGATTGAGATTCAAGTTATGCAACCTCAAGAAACTTTAGTTTTAACTGGTATGCAGGGGAGACTCAAGTCATTGGAGACTGACCTGCAACAATTTCCTTTTTCCAACTATTGAACTCCCCTCCCCCTTCCTCTTGAGTAGCATCACCTTCCCCTTGTCGGATTCTCTAAATTTTCAGGTAAGTAGTTTCTAAAGTTCAGTCCTGTTTAAACCCTAGTTCACAGACCAGTCCACATTGCATTCAAAGCTCTTTCCTTCCCTATGCAGTACAGGCCCACTCTAATCATGGATGGGTTGTTTTCTTATTTCTCCTCCTTTTTCTCTGCTCTCTTTCTCTTGGGAAGTAGATGCTGGAACGCAGTGGTTCCCAATTTAGACCAAACACCCAAACCATCTGGAGCCCTTTGACAAAAATGCCATGCCTCTTACTTAATTGAACTGGTACCTGAACATGGTTTTTGCTTTTAATTTTCTAGGTGATTCCACATGCAGCCTAGTTTGAGAATCACTGCTTTACAAAAGGGGCTCCCTAATTGGCGACAACTGCATGCTGATAACGGGCCTATGGGTTTCACGGTGCACAGTGGCAACCCCTCCTTCCCCTCCCCTGCAACCCAGCCCTGGCAGTCCCTGGAGGTTTGAGAGTTGGCTGCATTCTGGCTGATCCCCAGTCCCTGGCATCACACCTCTCTCATTTATAGCACCTGCCCCTGAACTTCCTCATGTGACTGCACACGTCCTTCAGCCTCCAACTCTTAGGCTGACAGGACCCATCTTTAATACCTCTCTGCCTGGCAGCCCCCGCCCTCCAATTCTATTCCTGTGCTCTGGAATAGCAACGCAGATATGCTAACCTGCTGAGTAAACACAAATCCAACCAGGTGGAGAAAATGCTGGGTTCCCTTCTTAAAGGCATCCTGAATTGTTCCCTTAGGCCTCCCTCTCGTGGTTTCTGAGTACAGATGCTCCGTGTCCCTTCTCTCATGACAGCCCAAAGGACTAAATCCCATTCCCCAACACTGCCTCTCCCTAGCCTCCCAGCTGTCTGTGGAATGGTGGTTCGGGACAGGGCGTTCCACAAACCGGCAGCCCTCTGTAAGCCCTGCAGTGCTCATGGGTCCTAACCACCAGTGGTGCCCTGATCTTACAACGTGGAGACTTGCTACCTTGGTACCTTTTAGTCTCTGTTTTGGTCTTACTCCAGAATAGGAAAAGAAAAATCCCATGATTTAATGTTACAAATTACTTAAATCTGCAGTCAGTAACTTACGTCAGTTCTCTGGAACAGATGTCAATGAATGTATGCGAATGACTTATTAAGGAAGTAAGAAGGAGTGGGAATAGGACAGGGAAGGAAGCACGCCCAAGCAAAGGGGTGATTCTGACCAAGCGGTAGAGGCTGACCTCAACCCAGCTCCTCCAGAGAGTTCCGGAGTGTAAACGTACACCTATGTGAGGTAAAGGAGCTGGGCTTTCATACAGAAATGTCAAGGAGCACTTCAGGCCGAAGACCTGGAGGTACTGAGTATTAGAAGCATAGTGAACAGGGGAGGAGGGTGAACAGGGATCTGAGGAATCTGGGTGGATCACTATAGCTGGTCAATGTCAGACTTACTTTTACAAGTTCTACAACGTTACCAAAAAGGCTAAATAGACTTCACTGATAATAACTGGTGCTATCTGTAACTAACAAAGTACCATATATTTAGTTTACACTGTTTAGTAAACTGCTTAATAAAATGCTAAGGGCAGTATGAACAATGTATTTTGAGAAAGAACAGCAAAACAAATTTTAAAGACTGAAGGAAGCCTGGAGGAAAGAATGGTTCTTTTGCTGGAAAGCCTGCTTTAGACATTAATTTTCTTCAAAACTATCTCTGAAACATTCACAAAATCACAGGGTCTCAAAAACAATGTTTATTTTAATACATAAAATGTGCCACCAAGCACCAATGCCTGTAAGTACCAGAATCCCATCCAGTTAGTATTATTCTTCACAACTGGTATGACTGAAGTCCTTGACAGATCCGAGTCTGAGCAGATGATTACCATCACTAACATAAAACAGATGACACAGAACCAAAATCATTTGCTAAATGTATACAGAACTACATGTGTAGTTACTTAAAAACTTTCTCTGTTCCATGTAAAAACACCAGTGATTTTAGTCATTTTCCTAGAAGATACACACAAGGAGAAGTGCAAGAGCCACATAAGTGCACAAGCCTGAAAGTGGGCTTTTTATTCTCACTCCATTCTCAAATGGAAGATTCTGTAAAGATACCTTTCCCCACTCCTGATTTCTTACTTTCATTCTTACCAACTCATTACAGTATAATTTACTATCCAACTCACATAGACATGTATGGTGGAGGAAAAGAATAAAACTTTGGCTAATTTAAATATAGAAAACAGTATTTTTGTTTTTTTAAATAAAAGAAAATTTAAATACTAAAGCTATCTTAGTAACAGCAATGAAGTGGAAGGTATATATAAAACTACTGCAGAATTATGTTAAAATAAAAATCTTTTTTTAGATTTATCTATCTTGAAGACAACTAAATTTTACTAGTTTCAATTTAAACATAATTACATAGTAATAGATGTCTCTCTTTAGAAATTGGATCAATTTATCCCTGGTTTCCTGAAGATACACCAAGTCATGGTTATGCTGCTTCACTGTTTATTTCTGGCAGACTTTGGCAAATCGCAATACCTATTTTCATTTGAGGAGTGACTGATGTGCAATTTTCTTTTAAGCAGAACCTGATCCTGAGCTAAAAGTAAACTAAGTTGGATTTCAGGCCCAATGGCAGGCAGGCAGTCAGTAATCATTTTTCGAATTGCAGGCAGCCCATGGTAGTTTTCATTTATATATCAAATCTCTACGGACATGCTGGAATAATCTGTGAACACAATCTTCCCATGCTGTATTCACATGCTCCACTCACATCTTTAGCTTACCCAGGTTGTTAGAGACTTGGGTAAGATGACTAAAGATTTCACGATGGAGATTTCTATAAGAAAAAAAAAAAAGAAACTTTAAAACTTTAAAGACGCTTTCTAAAAAGAAACTTTAAGTACTTACTGGGTACTTAATACTAGGTAATATGCCTAGTAATGGCTAAATGCAATTCAAAGGAATAGCCATGCATAATTTTTGGAGATGGTTCGTTGCTGATACCTAAATGCAAGCAACCAAAGAAAAATGACATACACTGGACATCATCAAAATTAAAAAGCTCTGTGCTTCAAAGGACATACTATCAAGAAAACAAAAAGACAACTCACAGAATGAGAGAAAGTATTTGCAAGTCACGTTCTGGTAAGGGTCTAGTATCCAAAATATATAAAGAACTGTTACAACTCAACGATAAAAAGACGACCCAATTTAAAAACAGGCAAAGTACTTTTGTAAAGATATACAAATGGCCAGTAAGTACATGAAAAGATATTCAACATCATTAGTTACTTGGGAAATGAAAATAAAAACCACAATGAGATACTACTTCATACCTACTAAGATGGCTAGAATCAAAAAATTGACAATGACAAGTGTTGGTGAGGATACAAAGAAATTAGAACCCTCAGCTATTGCTGGTGGGAACGTAAAGTGATACAGCAGCTTTGGAATACAGTTTATTAATTCCTCAAAAAGTTAAACAGAATTCCCATATAACCCAGCAATTCTACTCTAAGGTACATACCCAAGAGATCTGAAAACACAGATCACACAAAAATTCTCACATGAATACTCCTAATAGTATTATTCATTATAGCCAAAAAGTGAAAACGACTGAAATGCCTATCAAGTGATGAATGGATAAGGTGTAGTATATGCATGCAAAGAAATATTAAAACTATATTAAAAAAAACATACCTAAAAAAACTGTAAGGAGTTAAGTGCTGATGATGTAGGCTCCAACATGGGTAAACCTTAAAAACACTGTGCTGTTAGAAGCCAGATACAGGAAGCCACACAGTGTGTGGTTCCATTTATATGAAATGTTCAGAATAGGAAAATCCATAGAGAACAGACTGGTGGTTGCCAAGGGCTAGGGAGAGGCAGGAATAGGAAGTGACTGCTAATAGGTATGGGGTTTCTTTGTGAGGTGATAAAAATGTTTAGAATTAAAAAGTGGTGACAGCTGTGCAACTCTGTGAGTATACTATAAAACCAGTGCATTGTACATTTTAAAAGGGTGAATTTTATGGTGTGTGAATGTTACCAACTTTTTCAAAAGAAACTGATTCTGGGGCATGTGGGTGGTTCAGTGGGTTGAGCACTGGACTCTTGAGCTACTCAGGTCATGATCCCAGGGTTGTGGGATTGAATCCTTCATCAGGCTCTGCACTGTGGAGCTTAAGATTCTCTCTCTCTCTCTCTCAGGGCCCCTGGGTGGCTCAGTTGGTTGAGCTTCTGACTCTTGATTTCAGCTTAGGTCATGATCTCACAGCTGTGAGATCAAGCCTGTTGGGCCCCAGTGTGGAGCCCACTAGGGATTCACTTTCCCTCTTGCTTTGCCCCTCCCCTGCTCATGCTTGTGGGATTTCTCTTCCCCGACCCCTGCTTGTGCTCTGTAACAATTAACAATTAAAAAAAAAAAAAAAAGTGATTCTTTGGGGGAAAAAAAGGAAGCCTGTACATTTAGGAAACACAAAATCTTTATGCCTCAAAAAAATCCTACTTTCAAAACTACACTACGAGGGCACCTGACTGGCTCAGTTGGTAGAGCATGTGACTCCTGATCTCGGTATTGTAAGTTTGAGCCCCATGGTGGGTGCAGAGATTACTCAAAAATAAATCTTTTTTTTTTCTTCTCCTTTTAAATGTTTATTTATTCTGAGAGAGACAGGGAGAACGTGAGCTGGGGAGGGGCAGAGAGAGAGGGAGAGAGAGAATCCCAAGCGGGCTCCGTGCTATCAGCACAGAGCCTGATTCAGGGCTCAATTTCACAAACCATGAGATTGTGACACGAGCTGAAATCAACAGTTGGATGCTTAACCACTGAGCCACCCAGGTACCCCTAAAAATAAACCTTTAAACAAACAAAAACCCTGTACAACAGCCTGAGCTAAAACCACATTCCTTAAGACCTAAAACATTTTTAAATTATCTTTATATCTCCAGCACCATGCCAAATAAAAGTTAGTGGATCTGAATTACTAACCCCACTAGTCCTCTTTCTTTATAGTCCTAACACCTAGCCTTGATCTCCCAAATTGCAAGTTATTTGCTTTTGGCTAGAATTCACATAATGGGAAAACTTCATCAACAAATTCAATCAAAGCAAAGAGAACAGAAACAAGTGGGATTTACTAAATTAAGCATCTTTAATGCATAAACTTGACCATGTCTTTACTTTATACTAGTCACATATACAGAAGGTGATACAAAAATGGATGAGACACAATTCTTCCTTTCTGCAGGTTCAAACTCTAGGCATCACAGAGGCAACTTGCATAAAATATAATTACTGTAACAGGTAAAGAAAGCAACAAAAAAGGGAAACATACATAAATTCTATTTAACAGAGTGCATTTTTATTTACTGTACAGACCTACCTTATTATATTTTACTCTGACAATTTAAAAGAATTTGGGGCGCCTGGGTGGCTCAGTCAGTTAAGCATCCAACTTCGGCTCAGGTCATGATCTCACAGTTCGTGAGTCTGAGCCGCGAGTTGGGCTCTGTGCTGACAACAGTGCAGAGCCTGCTTGGAATTTTCTCTCTCCCTCTCTCTCTGCCCCTCCCTCCCTCACTCAAAATAAATAAATTTAAAACAAATTTTGAATGATTGGAGAAAGTTCACAAAAGTCAGAACTAATAAGAGACAATACAAACTTATAAACAGCTGAGCTGAGTTCCTTGCTTAAGCTGATGCCCAATTATAAATCTCTATTATTTACAGATGGAAAGGACCTTTATAAAAGCAGCCTGCCTAATTTTAAAGGAAGAATCCAGGGAGATTATCTTAACACTGAAAGTGCCTTAGTTCAGTGAGTTATCAGAGCAGTTTCCCCACATCACAATCAACATCTACACCACACATTAGCTCAGAGACCATGCCCAGCTAATGAAATCTCCTCAGAGGATAAAGGAGCTAGGAATATATTTACCGGTTTTTTCTTTCTGATGTATAAAATATGAATATCTTCGCTTCGATATTCTTCATCATGTTTCTCCAAAGGAATTTTTTCAAAGTCAAAGTCTAGTTGGAGTAGCTATAAATTTAAAAGAGATATACTTTAAATTCAGTAATATGAAGTGTCCTGTGGTGACAGAAGTCAGAATGATGGTTAATTTTAGAGTACTGACTAGGGAAGGGCATGTAGGAGCCTTCTGAGGTCGTAAAAGTGTTCTACAGCTTTATGTAGGGTGGTGGTTGCTTGGGTGTATACACATGAAAAAGTGAGCCGAGCACTGGATATATGTGCATTGTACATGTGTTTTAAATCAACTGAAACAGTTTAGCAATATAAAATTTTCAATTATACTCTCAAAAGGTCATTAACTTTAATTGTCAAGAAAAATATAAACCATTTTAGCACATATCTGAGGCAGAGTCATATATTTGTTTTCTCATTTAAGTAAAGTAGTCCTTTCAGGGCTGTGTAGATGTACCCTCAAGAGGAGTCACTTGTAAAGTGATGGATTTTTGCCCATCAAAAGCGTTTGGGTGACAACCAGGGGGAGATGGGTGAAAGATACATGGGACTCTATATACTACTCTTGCAACTTTGTGTGAATCTTTATTTAAAAGTAAAAAGTAAAAAGGGAGAG